TTACTTATGTACCTCATCAATAATGCGTCAAATATCCAAAGGGCATACCCTAACTTGCTAGTTAAATGTATAGAAAAAATATATTTCATATATATATTTCTCAACTCAAACAATGTTCTTCGTTGTAGTTATTCTCGGCGGAAGGAATTCCTACTGCACAACACCAAGATAATCGAAAAAAGCTGTTAATACCACTTTGAGTTTTGAGCGATTTTGAAGCGGTTTTTTCGGTCTTGTCCCACATTTTGCGCAATATTTCTTTGATTGGTCGGTTATTTTCGGATCGTGTGGAAACGATCTAAGTCTCATCTCTCATAATTATGCAATTCATGGCGTTCTGATTGGTGAAACTCATTGTTTCACAGACGCCGCTGAAACATTAATAACGTTTATCAAGTGATGTTTGACACAGATGTCTCTCATAGCGCTATCAATTTAGAAAAAAAATATTTCTGATATTTGATTGACTCGAGCAATTTAACTGGAATATTGGCTCTCGTATTACTGCACCAATTATCGCACTTACACCATCATTGTAAATTGCTTGCCACGTAGGCATGTGCATGTATTTTGACAAGCGACATCTCTTGGTGAAAATGAGAAAGTAATGCGAAGTGCCAAGATTCGATGATTTTGATCCTTCTCTACATAAACTAAGAGTTTTCCATTTTGTGGTGTCGAGTTATTCAGTGCAAGCAGGCGCTGATCGTGAAACGCTTAAAATTGCATTTTCGGCGTTCATTGCTTTTGTTCTTTGATTTGAAGAAAACTAGTACCGAAGCCAATTAAACACTTTCAGAAGCTTATACCGATGCTTCGCCATCGAGTCTCAATTGGCTTTCGTTTCAACGATTTAACAGGACCAGAAAAGTTCTAAATCAAGCATTTGCAGGAGTTATTGGACCAAAACTCAGCTCAAAGTCTTGAACAACTTTCGAGCATCTTAGCGGTTGATGAATCAACTATGTCTAGGTATTTACAAACGATGGGAAAGATTCAAAAAGAGGGAATATGGCTTCCATACGAACCATTTCAATATCGGGGTTTCGTTGCCTGCAGGTAAGAAAAGAAGAGCTTTCTGTTACGTATTGCCATTGGCGATGAAAAGTGGATCTACTACGACAACTCCATGTGCAAAATAAATCCGCTACCTCAGATGTCTATCGAGACGTCAGTTGAACAAATTGAAAAATGCATTGATGCAAAAGCGACCAGCAATAGCGGTTAACAGACGCAAACTCATCCCCTTGCGTGGCATCCAACGCTCGGTTATACCTTGCAAGAGTTGTCAAAGTTGCAAGGCGACTGTGAAGTTCTGCCGCATCTAACGCACTCACCAGACATAGCAGTCTTTAATTACCACTTGTTCAGAGCGATGCAACATCGCTTCACTGGCACGTGATTTCAAAATGCTGAAGAAGTGCGAAAATGATGGGGTGATGATTCGATCGCTGCCAAACCAATGTGCTTCTGCCGACAAACATTTTGATTAATATAGATTGCATCAACTTTTCGCAATAAACACCTTTCTTAAATGAAAAAATGATCAAAATATCTGCTAACCTACCTACTTCGGTCAACGTGAGAAGCGGCTTCGAGATAATCGTGTGTGCTTGTCTGATAATCATATGGCATAAATATGATTACAACTGGGTTCAGAGGTACAGATCCTCTCCTTTGTTTATATGATATATAAAACGTGATATATTACTCCTTGTAGGGGAAATGCTGACATCTAACGGTAATTGATGTTTGCTACACATTGCTATATTCTTAAATTACTCATGAAAATACATCGATACTTTCGTATTCTTTTCAGAATCGAATTGGACTTGTACAATATATATTTAAGGTAATCGTCGTATTCTCGCATTAGTCATAAGAAAAAACGATGTATCTTCTTCTCGCAGCTTTAGCGACTTGCTTTCCACGATATTCGTTTATCAGCTTCCCTAGCGGTTTTGAGAGACGCAATAATCAAGAGTAGAGCAAAAGTGTGAAAAAATTTAATTCCATTTTTTTATACCGTTTGACTAGTAACGATGGGAAATGATTGCCACATGTATTTATATCTGTAATTGTTTTGCTAAAAAATATTTGAACTAAACCTTATTACGATTTATATTAGAGCGTTAACTGGTTTTTCAAATAAATTATGAATTATAAAATGACCTAAAAAATCCCGTGATTTAGTATTATTCATGTTTATTAATATATTAGAGAAATTTTTTGTCAATATATACGGCTAGGGGTCATCAAGTATTTTAATATTAAAATTTAAAAAAAATTCAGAAAGTGGAGTTATTCAATTTAGCAAATGAGCCATTGATTAACGTTTGGTAAGATCGTTGATGTTTGTTTCTGAACACTATTGTACGTAACAGATTCACAAAATTATTATATATTATAAATACGATGTTCGTTCGTAATGCTGAGCGCAAATCGATAGCTTTAGTTTACGGTAAACTCATTACATATTACGTTACTCACAACTATACCTAACTGTAAATCATACTCTGAATTATTAACATATGGTTTCTTTTTTTGTAATTAAATGCAGGGCTCTGAATCGATTTTAAAGCCATATATAGAGAGTTGTAAGCGGAACAATTTCAAGATTATTTGTCGTATTGAAAAAAAATCTAAAAAAAAAATTGTAAAAAGTAACACGAATAAAAACATCCTACTAGGCCACGGTCCAGTGTTGAAAAGTGTATAATACTTTCCTCAATACAGTTTTTTGCATAACAACTTTTCAAAATAAAACATTATATGAGAAATGGCTGAAAAAGTATTCCGATCCGGACCGTTTTCAATAGCGTTCGTCCTCGGACCAAAACATATCGTTGTATCATCTACAAGTTGAATAAAAGATTCCAAACAGAGGGACGGATAGAGAAAAGTCTCTGAAAGTGATTCTGAAACGATCGATATAATAGAACGTGAGTTCACCTCAAGTTCTTCTGGGTGTTGTGTACATTTAAACAAACCTAATACGTCCTCGTACCAATAAAGAGTAAAAAAGGTCCTGAGAGCTTCAATTAGAATGAAGGAGACAACTTATTGTCTCTTGCGGTATTGCATACGGATCTACGAATCGATTTTACTAAATTTTTTTTAAACTTAAATTGACGAAAGTAATAAAAAACGAATTTGGTTGAAAAATTTCTCCCTTTTATTTTTTTTTATTTTTTTTTTTTTTTAGAAAATTGTGGGCAAAGACGACTTCGATCGTCTATTCTCGGAAGTAATGAAATAATTTAAAAATTTTTTATATATTAGTTAGGAAGATAAAAAAGTAAAAGAGCTGTCCTCTTTCGAAGGACAATGGAACTTTCTTCTTTGTTTATAAACAGAGACATTTTTATTTTTCCATAACCTACTGCGATGTTAAGAAACAAATGGATATCAAAGAATTTTACATTATGTGAATAAGTAGTTTTTTCCCATTTACATTTACTTGACAAAGAGTGCTGATAACATTCATAAGTGCTATATGCGAATACAAACAATGTAAAATGCGGTCCCATTATGCTTAGAAAAACAATTTTTCTATCGTATAAAAAGAGTGCACAAATTAAAATGCATTTCAGCTTAAGACTAAGGAAAAAGCCAGAAACCTGTTTAAAATGTAAATTACATGAAAAATTACGATGCAATGGATTAAGGGCAAGTCGAATGAAGTCAAGAGAGTGTGTGCGCTAGCCACACACAATGATGAAGAGTGTGCTTGGGTTATAACGATGAGAGAGAGAGAGAGAGGGGGGGGGGGGGGGGGGGAAGTATGTGTTATGTGAATATGTAGTGAGAGCTCGAGAGAGAGCGAGTGCGAGTGCGAGTGCGAGTGCGAATGCGAATGCGAATGCGAGAGATGGAGAAAGGGGGCTGAAACTATAGGGTTGAGATGTGAAGACAAACGAAGTGTAACAGTTAAGTAATGATGCGAAAGAAAATTCATCAGAAAATCTGAAAATTTCAACATAAAAAGAAAAATTGCGACAACAATTACACAAATGAAATTATACACATATAGGCAAATACATACATTTGCTTGATTATTTTTCTTTATTTTATCGATGTTATTTATATACGAAATGAAATTGCAATTAATAAGATGAGGTAAACGAGTTGGGGCATTAATGCAGTAGAATAGAAAAAATTCGGAAAACAGCGGTAATGTTTTCAAATACTTGTGCGTATTATTTATTTTTTTTTTTTTGCGTTTGTATGTTTTTGTATGAGTGTGTGCATGTGTGTTTTCATATATGGGAAAAATTGGAGCAAAACAAAATAATTTTAATAAACCGAAAGGATAGCAACAAACAACAATCACGTGAGAGACATAGAGAATCAAAAAAAAAAAAACAAAAAACGGAATTAAAAGAGAGAATAAATGGGTGAGAAAGAGAGAGACTGTGAGAGGAAAAGAAGGAAAGACAGAGAGATGAAATTGAGAAGAGAGAACAAGCGCGAGAGTATAATGCGCTTTAATATTATTAATGTTTTGTGTACATTGTACCGTTAGAGCGAGGGAAGGCAAGTACGTTTTTATGCATTTTGCACCAGGAGAGATTGTAAACAAACAAATAGAAGAAAGAAAACGAACAGAGGCGAACATAATCAACGAAGTCAACCCTATCGCAGAGAGTTGCTAAGTAATGCATGTGTGAATCACGATTCATATAATAAAACAAGGAGTTCTAGTTTCTATCGTCTGGATGGTTGGATGGATGGATGGATGAATAAATAAATGGATGGTTACTTGTACTACATTGTAATGCAATTTCAGTTGTAAGCAAACCACAGACGGCTCTATAACATAATTCAAAACGTTGCACCTTCTCTTAAAATAAATGATAATATTGAGAGTATAATAAAACTAGTGCACTAGTGTAAAGTGTTTTTTAATTGTTGCAAGTGAAAAGAAAAGAAAGTTTCTTATTTGGTTTTTTTTTTCACTCTGCTCCACAAATTAGATGATAAAAATAAAAAAAAATTTAATAAATAAAAAAATAGATTATGAGAAAGTTTTTTTAAAAGTAACAATTAACGACAACAATAATAAAAAGTTGTTTGTTAAACATACATCTGTACATGGTGGATAATTGATATAAATTGTTATTTAAAAGTTGATTACTTAAATTTGTGTACAAGTGCGTGTCGTAGAGGAAAAATTGTGAAAATTGGTAGCAATCCTAATTATAGGCAAAATTTACATAAAGAAACTATGTCAACGTTGCCGTTTCTTTTAAGTGTTGCTGATGAGCTGGACAACATCAATTCACAGTCTTATATGGACGATTTCGGGTTGGGTTTCCATCCGCATCGACAATTCTATCGTACACCGACTATACAACTATCTTTGCCAGCGGGTACAGATTGGATGCAGCAACCGGAGTCGGGCCGTCATCAATCTCGCTATCGTTCTTATCGCTGTTACGGTGAAACGCAAAATAATTTGCAAACAACTGCAGAAGGGGAAGATGAAGACAATGAAGCCGATGAGAATGGTTCCCGCAACGAACGTGACGGCGCCAGCAGTTCAGCATCGGCTAAAAGGGCTCAAAAATTTGTATCAGCTTTAAATTCAAATACGGAAGATGAAGTCAACATAGATAATACAGTGCAAATGTATAATTTATCTAAGAAATGCAGTAAAAATTATTATCGTCATGGTGAACCTTCAACTTCAGCAACCAGCAGCAAATTAAATGATGCTACTGCTAGCTCAGCTGCAAATAGTGTAAGTGGTGGAGCATATGGTGGTCGGGGTGGTGGTCGCGGCAACAGTGGTAGTGCGAAGGACAAACCGAGGATGGGCTATCGTTTGCATACTAAATGCTTGGAGGGCAATAACTCATCGTCCGACGAAAGTTTGCAAAAGGTATCTTCATCAATCGAATTTTTGACTTGTTTTCTATTGAAAAAATCGCGTGCCACCAAAAACACTACATCGTCATCGTCCACTAGCACCGCTACCGAAGGTAAAAAATCTTAGAATACTTTAGTTAAACGACGCAGCAATTGTTTTTAAAAAATAGAAAGCAATAAGCTTAGGTACGACGTTTGAAGAAAATTGAATGAAAGTATTACCCGCAAAACCACATTAAACCTAAACCTAACAAAACTAACTAATAAATTATAGAGCAAGGATTCATGGAGGCTACAAGGGCATCTCCTGTCCATTAAGGACTTCTAATGAAATTTAAGAAGATAGAAAAGAAGAAGCATAAGAGCATAAAACGCGATTGAAATTCTAAATTATACACATATACAAACAAATTTCCACATATATATAAAAATATATTTAATCACATAATATGAAAGAAAATCTGAGTTAAAAATAAAAAACGACTATTAATGATATGGAAAATTATATTAAAATGGAAAAAATAAAAACAATAATGTAATAACCAAATAAAAAATGCATAAACATTTTTGTATACCAAAGAAATATTGAAGAAAGCAAAGCGAACCAAATATATTTTATAAAAACAAAAGAGATTAATAATAAAAAAGGGAGAAAAAACAAACAAAGAAACAAGCAAAATCAAGCAAAACAAAAAGCAACAACAATTAAAATAAAATATTTATAATAGATAATTAATTCCTAAGCGTTTCTTTCTATACAAATATACGCATATGTACAACCAATCAACCAACCAGCCATAGCATACCACACCATACTATACTATACTATACTATACTATACTATGCTATACTATACTATAATATATACAATACTATACTATCCTATACCATGCTATATAAGTGTAATGAATGTCCTATATTTTTATTTTCTTTTTCGTTATGTTTTGTATGCACTTTACTAAGGCTTGTGTTTATTATTGTTTTGTATTCCGTGCCATGAACTGTGCTTATGAATTGTTTATGTGTTCGTTTTATTGCTATGTGCATATGTATGAACGTGTGTGTGTGTTTATGTGTGTGTGAGTGAGTGTCGCTGTTTATTTATTTGTGTTTCTGTCACTTCTTTATTAAAATCACTGCCTTTGCACGCATATTTATATAAAAAGGAATTTACATAATATATAAAAAAAAAAAAGCAAAAACAAAAAAAAAAAAAACCAACTAAATATAAATAAATAACAACAAGTGCAGCAAATTTTTTTACAAGTATCGTTTAATGTTTTCTACTATTTACTACCATAGCTATAAACGTGTCTTTTACGCTTTTGAAAATTTTACGTTTTTGTTTCCGTTTCCTTCACTTCTACAGATTTTAAACTGAGTAGAATATTTTCGAATTCTTAAGTTTGACAGAGTGATTGAAGGCTTCTCCTTTGTTTCGTTAAACGTGAACTTTTCTAAGCAAATTAATTATTAAGAGATTATATTCGGTTTTAGTATAAGTTGGAATAAGTAATAAACTTTTTAATTTTTATATTCAAGCATATTTATAAAATATGAAACCTTGAACTTTATCTACTGATGTGATTTTCGACAGCACGGCGTCAGGTTGCACTATAAAATTAAAATTAAAAAATTTCTTAATATATAAACTGTTTGTTGACAAACATGTGTAACGTGTTAAACAAGAAAAAAAAAGGGAAAACTTAATCGTTTATGTAGAGGCGGGAGATATTGAAATATTAATTTTATCGCCCAAAAGTATGCTTTGCAAATTCCATAAATTCAATAACAATAATTTTTGACCAAGATGAGTCATTAAATTTTTATTCATCACCCATCTATCAGTTATTGAGAGTACGAAAGTGAAAAAAACGATTCTTGCCAATGTAGGGTCATTTAAGTTCATCTAGCGGTTTGCATATTTTAATTAAGAAAATGAAATGATCTTAAGAGAAGTAAAATAACACTAGTATTAACTAATGGATGTACTCTTGAAATAAAACAGATCTTTAAAAAATATTTTAATTATTATGGAAGATTTTCTCACGTTAATAATTATTATGAAAAATGCTCTCACATTAGTATTCGTTGAAATTTTTATTTTCAAACGATAAAGTACTTAGGTTTAAGTTCTATAAAGCTTAAGAGTGCATTAGCATTGTTTGTCAGCAGCGCTATTGTTTACGATTACATATAAATATTGGACATTTTTTCCTTCAATTCTCTTTATGAATTTAGGTTAACGTTTGCAGCTTCTTTGTGTTATAGGATGATCTGAGGAGGTAAATTATTTGGATCATAAGATGTTAGTCGAGTGTCTGCATAATTATGGGTAATAGATGCGTATATATAGGAATTCCAAGCATGCTTTCTCGACTTGTTACTTATTGTTAGATGCTAACTATACAAGGACTAAACTCATCAAGGGGCTATTTCACTGGTGATTTTGAGAAACTCTCGCCAGGTCTCTGCATTATCTTATTGAAATCACATCCGGTTCTGATTTGTTGGCCAGATCTGATTTTATATTAGGTTTACTCTCTGATCTGGTGAATGTTATGCTTAGATTTAAGAAAAAAATATTAACATTAATATGGTACCAATCAACTAAGTAACACATCAATAATTAAAAAAAAAAACATAAATGGTTTGCTATTTTAAGATATTCATATTATAGAAGTTGTTAATTATCAAATATTCATCCATAAGCTTTGATAATACTTATTATCACGCATAAATTTTAATTGATAAATAAATTGAAATCGTCTGCAACAGGTAGACATTAAAACACTATAGATGGACGAATGTGACTAAATCATATTTATATAGTATTCTCGCCTAAGTTAGGGGTATTTCTATACAAACAAAATTTTACATGTTCTCCGTTTGAAGTATAAGAAAACCGTTATAATTTCTTCCTCTATTAATGCTAGTTGATATAAGCAAAGCAAACCTTCAATTGCTCTATTGAATCTATGGCAGACTATTCTTAAGTTTTCTTTTAAATTTTTTTTAAAACATGAAATGAAGATCAAATAAATAATCGAATATAAGACAATTTCAATAAATGATAAAATGTAAAAAAAAGTTATTTTAAAAAAAAAAATCACAATAAAGAAAATAAACAAATAAAAAGAAAATATAGAAAATAAAACGAAAAATAAGAATAAAATAAATAAAAGAAAGTTGTAAACATAATGAGTTAACTTATTTTTCTAAAATTTGTAGTTATTATATAAAGGAAACAAATAAAAAGAAATATGGCTAAAAAGAAACAACCAACAAATTTTTATACGATTTTTTTTATACCAAAGAACAGTTTGTTTTTTTTATATGCGTTCTTACCCAAACCAAATATTTACATATATATATATATATATATATATATATATATATATATAGATTTATATATATATATATACATTAAAATATGTTAAGAAGAAAGTCTAATAGAGTATGATAATCCAAATGAAAAGCTTACTTTTCTAGAAGAGAATAATAAAGAACATTATTTACGCATTATATGCAAATTAGAAGAGAAAAACCCTCGAATAGATTTCAGTTAACTAAAAAAAAAAAAAAAAGAAGAAATTATAAAAATAAGAACTCGCATACAGCAGAATATTGTAATATGAGAAATTCATACTTGGAGTATTATTCACATATACTCTCAAGTGCATTAGCACGCACTTATGTAGTAAAATACACGGCAACTACGCCCTATGCTATAGTACACTACGACATTTGTATGACAAGTTGTGTTTTACACGCTTTTGTAGAGTTCAACACTTTTAGCCACTTTTAACATATTTCCAACTCTTGATGTGATGTACTCTACGTAAAACTAACATAATATGCAACACAACACTTCAAAAAAACAAAAAAAAAAAAAGAAAGGATTTTATGCAATTAAAAAAAAAAAAAAAAAAAAAATAGAAAAAGACAAAAAAAAAAAAACTAAAAAAAGGGAGAATAATATGCACAAGTGTATTGACTTGTACGCATACGTACATGTGAAAGCAAACACACGTTCATAGTTATTACTTGACCTTGTACTATTTTTTATTTATTTTATGAACAAACCCTAGCAGCAGCATTAAAACCGAAAGTAAACATCATTCATTTTCATATCTAATCTCACTCTAGAGGCAGAATATGAAAAATATATTGAAGGATATGTAGAATAAGTAGAACATTTAGTTAATTGAAAAACGAAGTATAAGAAAATGCAACAAAAAATTATAAAAATTGTTATATAGTTAGATAGTGTTGTAAGTGTATTTAAAACTTGACTTAATTTTCCTTTCTTCTTTTTTGTTTTTTTTTTTTAGTTTATTTTGCTTCTTGTGTATTTCAATACTTTCCAATTTCTGAAATAGCAGATAGATTCATTGAGGGAAGAAGTTGAGGCATTTTTTCGAAGAAAGCTCTGCAGTTCTATGATTAATTAAAGTGTTTTGGATTGACTGGAATACATAGTAGTTGAAAGAGCATAGTAGCAGAGGCAGTCCTCAAAAAAAGCGGCTGAAAAGATTTCTTTGCTACATTAATAATAGATGATCAAGTGTCGTTGTTCTGGAAAACCAATAAAGCAACATCATGTTGCGTGTTTTTATCTTCGACTTCCGACCTAAGCTTACATATTTCGGCATTGATGGTTTCAGTAGACTCCCGAAGACCGTAATACCTCATATCCAATTGATCTCATTAAACCCAAAGCATTATTATTATTAATCAATAAGTCATATTTAATAATGCTATTGATGTTAACATATGCTTAATGAAATTAGATTTCTGTTATACCTAAGCTTCTTATTATTACTATATAATTGATTCACTCAAGTAAGATGCAAAAAAAAAAAAGAACGTCTTTTCCCGATTGTCTTCGGCACAACATTGCCAATACCCGATTCGATTTTAAATTAACTGGTAAGCAAACTGACTTTTCAACCTTTCAAATTTTTGTTGCTCTTTTAACAAACACTTTGAAAGGAATCTTCTTAGTTATCCAAGGGTTATCTCCCCCTTGATTTCAAAATCATCACATTCAACTAATTAAATCTGATCTTATATATACGATCTTAGGCAAATTATGCTCCTTGAGGGTTCGCTTTGGTATTTTGACTTCTCTTTCGTAATAAAATGAAAGATGATAGTTTTATTTTTCGAAAAAAACATACATACATTGCCCAATTCACATAATATATAAGTTAACGATGTTTCAATGAAGTGAGTAGCTAAAGTTTACTGCCCATACCTTGAAATAAGTTGAAATTGAAACATTGCATAAAAAAACAAAAACAAAAAAAAAAACGTATTTGATGTCAGTATATCTTACACAAATCGCAATATTAAATACAATACGAAATATATCTAACGTTAACAATAGTTGATACGTAGAAAAAACTTTATGAATATATTTAAGTAATTTAAACTTTGTTAATTTGTACGATTGATTGCT